CATATTACAATGGATTTTATAGAGGGCTTGCCTAATTCATTCGGTAAGCAGGTCATCTGGGTTATGGTGGATAGGTTGAGTAAGGCTGCTCATTTCACAACTCTGTCACATTCATACACTGCAAGAGAAGTAGCTCATGCATTTATGGATAATGTGTTCAAACTACATGGGTTTCCTGATTCAATTACCAGTGATAGAGACCCTGTGTTTGTAAGTCAATTTTGGCAGGATTTTATGGCTTTCCAAGGGGTTCAGATTCAGCTTTCAACAAGCTATCATCCTCGGGCTGATGGGCAATCTGAGGTGGTGAATAGATGTTTAGAAACCTATCTTAGATGCATGTGTGCAGATTCCCCTCAAAATTGGTCTAAGTGGCCTCCTATGGCGGAATGGTGGTACAACACTACCTATCACACAATTATCAAGGCTACTCCTTATGAAATCATGTATGGCCAACCACCTCCTATTTACCTTCCTTACCTCCCCGGAGAGTCCAAGGTGGAGTTAGTCGATAGAAGCTTAAGGAAAAGGGAAGAAATGTTGAAATTAATCAAATTTCATTTGACAGATTTTTGTAGCCTATAGGAGACATGCTAAGCTAAGTTCGAAGTATTTTGGTCCTTATAAAATCATTGATTGCATTGGGGCAGTGGCTTACAAGTTGGATCTTCCTGTGCAGTCCAAAGTTCATAATGTATTCCATATTTCACAACTCAAGAAACACATTGGAGATGCAGTAACTTCTACCAATCTGCCATATCAAGCTGAAGATGTTTTTGCAGAGAAGGAGCCTGAAGAAATTCTGGATCGGATGACAGTTAAAAGGAAGGGAGCAGCAGTGAAGAAAGTTCTTGTGAAATGGAAGCACCAACATCCCGAGGATGCCACTTGGGAATTTTACTATGACTTGAAGAAGAAGTACCCTTTATTCCATCCTTGAGGGCAACCATGTTGACAAGAAGGGCGCATTGATATGAAATAAAGCTAAGAAATAATATTACTAGCTGTTGGTTGAGTTAGTTACGTGTGTTCCACATTTTAAGAGAAATTGTTAGATTCAATTTTGAGAAGTTAAATAGAGAGCCAGTAAACAATTAGAGGGACACTTGTTGTTGTATCTAGATCTCTTTCTTGTAAACTCTCAAACACGCAATAAACTCTTCGAAACCTTTTCTCTTGTAAGGTTCCCTGTCTCAATCTCTGTTCTTCGAATTACATATGAATTTCCTAGAACTAAGAAATATTATAACATTCTCATGTAACATTTATAAACACTTTCAAAAACACTCATAATTAACAAAACAAATTTAATCATCCTCGAGAATTATGATTTCAAAGAATCATAATTTTTAAACATGAAAAAATTTTCCTTCTATTGGTCACCTCTAAAAGTATTCATGGATTCTTTTACATGACAACTAGGTGTTTTAGCTTTGTCATTTTCACGTGTTAACAAACAAGTATATATTCTTTTTAATAAAGATCACAATATTCTTAAGTGCAATTAATTTAGCTCGAAACAGCTAGAATTATTATAGGGAAAATATTCAGCCTCCAAACGTGAATGCTGAAATTCTTTCCGAAATGAATAAAATATTAATTTAAATTATAAAATATTAAATTAAATAATTATTTTATAATAAATTTATTAAAAAATATAAATATTTTAAGGATTCGGACTATAATTTGGAGAAACTTTCGGACTAGACAATAAAATTATCTCTCCAAGTTTCTTCATTTTCAAAAAATTACTTTCCCCTTTTAAACTCCATTGTCCAAAGATGAATTTGGTTAAATTAGTTTATTTAGTCTCTTCTACTGCAACTGCCAAATTGTTTTCACTCTATGTACTCAATTACCGAAAAAAAGAAATTTTAAATCTTTAACCTTAATCTCTAAACCCTAAATCATAAATTAGAAAAAACAGTCGTCCTTTCCAATTTCCGATACAACCTACAAGCATATACAAGTAGTTTTGTAAATTGCAAGTGCTTGCCTATTGATCTAAGAACTCAATTTTGCAATTGGTTATACTAATCATTATCCTTAGGGGTTTTGGGGTTTCATTCCGGACGTAGAAATATAAATTTGATTTTAAATTTTTATTTATTTAAATAAAAGTCTAATATTTAGAAATTTGTTAAAGTCAAATTCTATAAACATATTTTAGATTTTTAGAAATATATTATAAAAGGTTAAAATATTTTTTTTCCTTATAGTTTTACATATTTTATCTTTTGATCCTTATAATTTAAAATAATTTTTTTGTCTTTATACTTATTTTTTTAATTATTTTTAGTCTTTATAGTTTAAGATAGATATTACATGTAATTTTTGAATTTTTTTTGAACTATTGTATCTTTCGTATTGATCTATTATACACAATTCTTTGTCCAAAAAATTTCTAGTCTTTATTATCTTTGTTGTAAACAGAATATGGAAAACACATATGTATGACTAAACAAAATATAGAGGTATAGATTAGAAAATCTACAACATCATAAAATAGGGGAAAAAACTGATATGATATATTTGAATTATGAACTTAGTTTTTCACACCAATGAAAGTATTTACAACAAGTACTTAAATACTAAAACTGACTAATCTCTGATTGGATAAAACAAATAACAAAATATGACTTAACAAGTAAACACCACTTGTCTGCACAATTTACTTTTTTATGAACATAAGCAACCTTTAACCAAACATACAAGCAAAACAAAAAATTGCAGAGACTTTAAAATATTTAATTATGATAGTGGAAAAATCTCAACTCCCAACACTCTTCCTTGAGATCTTTCTTCATCACTTCAAGCTTTGATCTTTATCATCATTTACACTTTTTTGTTGGATCTCTTCAAGTTGATAAGCATAAAAAAATTTAACATCTTCGAGTTTAACATTAATTTTCTCACTTGAAATAAGAATTCTTGTAATTTCCTTAATTCACTTTCCATCTTGAAAAACCTTTTCCATGAAAGTTGCAACAACATTATCAACATTGTTCTTCTTCATAAATTTATTCTTGAGTTGATAAGAAGAAGTGCAATAATTCCAACTAAATTCTTCTAATTAAAAAATTTATTTCTTCCATAGGCCAAAGTCATAACCATGATTGTTACAGCTTCCATGACCCATGAAAAAGGATTCTCCATAAATCCCAAAAGCTTTGAAACCTCATTTCCTTTCTTCTCTTCAAGTTTGTTGTTTCCAAAGGTCACTTTATCATGAGTAGCTTCTACTATGAGCCCATTTAAATTACATTTTAGAGCCTGATATACCTCTTTGAGTGACCCATTTTTCAAATATTCATCTTAAAATAAAATAGCCTACATGGCCTTTTTTTTTCCCACACTATTGGAAAACATTTTTTTTCTCCATTGCATATGGTGACTTTCGAGATTTGGGTCTAATTTAATTCCTTGAAATTTGCAGCATCATGAGTCATATAATTTGTGTATCCACTGTCTATGAGCAATGTATCTTTGCTTTTGCTCATTGAATAAGACGTAGTAGCAAATAGATGTTCCTCATGTTGTTCTTCATGCTCTACAATTTGGGCTTGATTTTCTTGTAGGTTTGTTTTATTTTTACAAACATTCTCCACATGACCAAACTGATTGCAAGCCCTACATTTAATGTTTGGCTTAAACCAACCAAAAATTTCGGTATGTTTGTTCTTCTTATAGTGACGACATCGTGGAAACTTATTTTTCCAACCTTTTCCGTCGTTGCTTTTTTCCTGTCTTTTTCCCTCTTGTGTATGCCACAAAAATACCTTCAGTATTTTCTTTCATCCTTAAAGGTCTTCTTTGTTTAATAGCTTGCAAAACATTGACAAGCTCTATAATTGATATTTGAGGAAAAATATTTATTTTCTTCAAAAGAAGAGATTTTGGATTAAAATCTCTTTGGAAGACACATTAAGATTTTCTCCACAACACGTTGATCACTAAACTTTTCATCAAGTAATCTAATTTGGATAACAATCTTCAAAAGTTTATCAATAAAATCTTTGACATATTCATTTTCACGACTTCAAACTTTCGTTAAGTTTGCAATTTTTTTTCATTCTTTTACTCCCTTGGAACTTCTCCTACAACTTATCCCATGCCTCTTTTGCTGTCTCAAGAGTTAGAATCTTGATAAATAAATCATCATGTAGTGTTACCTGTATAATGACAAGAGCTCTTCCTTCTTTTACCACTTCATCATTGTGACTCCTTATTTGAGATACTGTTGGGTTTTCTGGTAATAGAGGTGGATTACTTCCATTTTTCACTATAACCCACAAACTTTAAGCTCTAAGATAAGTCCTCATTTTTGCAGCCTACAAGTGATAGTTTTCTCCAACAAATATAGGGAGTGAAGGTAAAGAATTACTATTGGAAGCCATTTTTGTGTTTGAAGGTTTTTTTAAGGGATTTTTTTTGCTGGCTCTCTCTCTCTCTCTCTCTCTCTCTCTCTCTCTCTCTCTCGCACTCTCTCTCTCACGCGCGCGCGCATAGACCCTTAAAGATCAATAAAGCTCTTGATACCATGTTGTAAACAAAACATGGAAAACAAAGATGTATGACTAAACAAATTAAAGAGGTTTAGATTAAAAAAAGGTCTACATCATCACAAAAAAGGAGCAAAAAAGCTTATGTGATATATTTGAATTATGAACTCAGTTTTTCACACTATGGAAGTGTTTACAACAAGTACTTAAATAATAAAATTGACTAACTCCTGATTGGTTAAAACAAATAGTAAAATATGACTTAACAAGTAAACACCACTTGTCTGCACAATTTACTTTTTCTTAATATAAGCAACCTTTAACCAAACTTACAAGCAAAATAGAAAATTACAAAGACTTTAAAATATTTAATTATGACAGGGGAAAAATTTCAACAATTAATTTTTTTTTAAAGACTTCCCTAAATTTACTACTTTACTCCATCACTGTCGAAGCATAAAAAATCAGTTTCGAGATTAGAAACAATATTTGCTAGATTGAAAGTTTGAACTTATAATTATTCACATGAAATCTTAAATCACATGTCCTACATCAATTATTTGGTTTGATTATCTGCGAAATGACAAAACTAAAAGCCTAGTTGTCATGTTACAATAAGCAATGTCACATTTACATTTTCAACAACAAAACACTACTTACTATTGCTATAGAATATAGATACACTAGCATTATATTTATAATTCAACTCTTCCCAGATGATCTTTGAAGCACAATCCTTATTAAAATTTTCATTAACTCCTATTTCTACTACATTAGTTAGACACGTCATTTGATAACAATATCCAATACACAATCCTGAGTCCTCTATGTTGTTAAAATTTAGCTTATTTTGATGTTCTGGCTTCTTCCTTAGACAAATCTCCAATATTAGAACACCAAATCCAAAGACATCAGTTTGAACTTTCAGCCATAGCTTACACTATTTAAAGCATCTGGTTGCATATATTCTGATGCTCTAGAAACCCCACATATAACACTAAGCCTCTGTTCCCAACTCAGAGTTGAATCCCCTCCAGAAGTTGAAAAAATGAATCTGTCTAAGCTCCCATTTTGCATGAGCTCATACACGAGGAGGATCTCACCCTTTTCATGGCACCATCCTATTAACTTCACTAGATTTTTGTGATTGAGATTCCCTATAGTGGTGATTTCTGCTATAAAGTCTTGCTTACCATGACGTGAATTCTTGGAAATCCTCTTTACAGCAACATCTTTACCGTGTAAGGTGCCTTTATAAACCATCCCAAATCCCCCTTTTCCAAGCTTGTTTGATGAGTGGAAATTCCTTGTGGCATGTAGAAGCTCCTTCAGATGAAACTTATGTGGAGCATTTGATGAGCTTTTAATTTCAAGCTCTATGTTCAGATCTTCCTCCACCCCTTGTTCATTTCTGTGTTTCTTTCTCCACCGACACAAACCAACAAGCCCACATGCTCCACCAACCACAATTATTGGAATCAAGATCCATAACCATATTAGATTTATGGGATTCTTCTCTATATACTCCCAGCTTGAGAAATACCATGATCCTATTGTGTTAACCTGAGTATATGCTCCTGTAGAAGCTGAAAACCCCACATAAACATCTTCTGGAAGCAACTTAGAGAGATCAAGATCTACCTTAAGCACCGGTGTCCTCAACTTCAAATCTGATCTAGAGACAAAAATGCTAATTTTTCCATCTTTGGCATCAAAGTAAATAGTAGCAACAACATCAATTCCACTAGAAAGGTTAACACCATGTGGCCCAAGAGGTTGTTGCTGGATGGAATAAATGCTCTTTACATCCACCCCAACATGGTTGTCATCAATATCTTCAGGGTAGCTTTTCCTTGTATCAAACTCCACTGCTACTATGTTGCTGACCCCTATGCTTGTTGAGTTGACAATCCCAAGCCATTGGCCTGCACTGTTGTTTGGGAGAGAGGTGTTGGCTGTCAATATGAAAGCTAAACCCTCACCACCAGGAGTGGTTAAAGGATGAATATTGAAAACAAAAGTTGAATTGAATGAGGCCTTCATTCCTCTTTGACTGTCCCATAGCCTCATCTGTTCACTATAGAAGATCCTACCCGAGAAGTTTGAGATCTCTGATCCTGATGCTTCTGTTGGGACTTGAATGACACCTTTATGTATGGCTGAATTTGTAGACATGATGAAATCTGTGCTGTTTTCATAATAGAAAGTTGGATAGCTGAAATTCAAGCACCTCACATGCATTACAGATCCACAAAGCAGAGTTGCAACAATAAAAAACTTGAGAAAAAATTGTGGGAAGGAATTGAAAATGTGATAAGGCATATACATGGTCAAATTTAGGAGGATGGAAATGATTCCAATTTGAACTGCATCCAAAATTGAAATGAAAAGAAAGTAATTTTAATGGATATGAAGAGAATGTGATGATCCAGTCAAGAGTTGCTGAACAAAACATATGGTGGTTGAAAATTTGTATTAGCTGTCTATTATTGGATTTGAAAACAAGCTTTTATATTTTTCAACTAATTTATTTAAGAAGTTTGGCATTAGCATGATATTTAGTATGAAGCAATAAATGAAGGGTATGGTTTCAACTTCCTTAACTTGACCAAGGATGAGAGAGTTGAGTATCATAAATTTAGACGGTTTATGGATTAGTTTAATCTCACAAACTTAATAATTTAATCATATTAGGAGAGCATACATTATGAGTATCCAAGTCAACTGGTGTTTTATTGTTTTGTATATTATTCGGTAATTCATACACAAATCAAGCAATTTTGTGTTTATATTATTTAATATGTATAAGGTACTGTAAAAATAAAATTTATTTGAACATCCATTTGTACTCATCCAATTTTGTATTTGATGTGTCTAAATGTATAGAGATGATCAGTTAGAGTTGAGTCAAACAAATGAATATATATTCGGAATTGTATAATTTCTAAAACAATGAGTATGATATGTGTTGGAAAATGAAGTTCTACGTTTGTGAGTATAGAGTAAATTTAAGTGAATATAAAGCAAAGGGTGTGAATTTCGATTTGCTTAAGTATTTAGGACAAGTGACACTCTTAAATTGATTTCGGCATTGCGTAAGTATTGTGTTAGGATTACATTTTACAATTCTCTTGGTCAATGATCATAATTTCTAATGATTGGTATAGTAATATTTTTTTAGGATTACATTTTACAATTTATTATTATTATTATTATAATGTTTATTCTTTAATAATTTTTATTTTATATAAGTACATGTTAATAGTTATGTATATAAATGCTTAAAAGTTATAAAATAAAAAATTATTAATTAATATGTAAGTATTTTAATTGACTACCACTTTATGCAGGAGAAGACAGTTCCTTAAGAAGTCACTACCTCTTTTATCAATTCTAATAATTAGCTAGCAGATACTTTTACCAAAATCCCTTAGAAAATTGAGGATATCCTACATTTGTTCCAAGTTTGATGTTTATGATATATATACTTCAGTTTGACTAGAAGTGTTGAGATTTGATCTTAATCTATCATTAATATATCTCACATTCCTATTTTCATTATTTGTGCTAAATTACCATTTTATTGTATTCAATATCTGATTGAGAAATATTTCCATTGTTCCACAATCATTTCATTTTTAAGATTTCTACATAATGATTGAGAAATATAATAAATGTATTACTTTTTAATACAATTTTACTAAAATATTTTACTCAATTAATAAATCCTAATAAATCCATTTTTTTGAATTATGATAGTTGAATAATTTATGAAATAATAAATTAATAAAAAGTTAATTAATATATTATATTGAAAAGTGAAAATATCATTTTTATATAGATATTTCAATGTTAAAACTATAGTTATTATGGAAAGAAAAAAATATCTAAAATCAAGAGAATTGATCGGAATCATCCTTAAATATTTTCATCATTCTATATTTGATATTCAATTTTTAAGGAACCTTTATTTATTGTTCATCTAAGTCCATTATAATAAAGTAGAAAGGGTTTGATGTATTTTATATGTTCATGCATTCGACCCTTCAATAACACAAATCTTCAAGGTTTTATGCAACACGATTAAAACGATGCCAGTCATATATTGTCATTGTAAGTAGTGCCTGGAACATTGTGTTTGTGTTGAATGCTTTATATATATGTTACATGTTGTGAGTTTTATATGATTATGTATTGGTATGTCGTTTTGAGATGTTAAAATTTTAGAGTGTGGTTGGCCCTGGAATTTTAATAAAGTAATTTAATGTTTTTAATTTTTTTTTAAATGTTTTGAAGTAAAATGTTTTTTGTAATGAAGAATTTATAAAAAAAAATTGAAATTCAAATGTAAAATTTCTTAAAATTATAGAATTTCAAATTCTTCCATGTCGCCACCGGCCCGAAACGGGCTTTCGGCATTCGCGAAGGATGGTTGGACTCTTTTATTTGTTTAAAAATATGGATTGCTAGAATGACTTATTCTCAAACTGAGACCTTGTCAAACGAGCAATTTTATTAAAAGGCTCACCAATCCATGTTAATCCCAAGCGGGACCCTCCATGGATTAGCGGTTTTCATAAAAAGGAAGGGTTCATGGAGTCGCCACCAATGTTTTACTCAAAACATTGGAAAAAGAAGTTTAAGGCAATCGATT